AATATAACAGCGAGGGCAGGAGTACCTCACTGTGTAAAACATCCTCATGATGACACTGTCAGAGTGAATATGCAAAAAAGAAGAAGCTGACATTCTTTTTAACATTAATTGTCAGTAGAGATATAGAAAGAGATTGAAAACTATGGCTAAGATGACTCAAAGTCTTCAGATTTAGGCAAGCTCAGTTTGACTAGATTTTGGAAAATACATTCATTATAGCATCCTGCAGGTGTAGAAATCCACCGCTCACTGTGCTGGAAAGAAAAACAACAGGGCAATTTGCACAGAATTTCAGTCTAAAAAATATCTGTCAGGGCACAGCAGGCTGCCCTGGGAGAAAAGCACTGCAGTGGAAATGATTGTCCTCTCTGAAACTGTCTCTCTTGGGACAGAATCCCCGCCTCCTAAAACAACAAAAACAAAACACAACATGTTAAAACGCAAAATATTAAAATCTTCACTTTTATTTCAAAAAGTGCATGAATGGTAACTTTTTTTCTTATGTTCCTAAATTTCCTAAAAAGAAGGACCCTGCCTTCAAGCTATTTAGGAAAATAGCTTAATCTGTTACTCATGCTAATGTGTGCAAGTACTGTTTGTGCTGTACTGTGCTCTTAAAAAATTAGCATATGTTATACTGGATTAAAAGCATTCATGAATCATTGGTGTCACCTAACACTCACAGCGCTGTAAAAATACAAGAAAATGTAAATCAGCACCAGCTTACCTTGGTGTGCTTATTTGTGGTATGCTTGCTTCCACTCTCAAGATCATACAGTAAATATTTTGGAGAAATCCATGCAAATCGGGTGACAGATAAACATAGTCACAGATAAAGTCATAGTTTTGTCAAAGAGTAATAGAGAAAAAACATAGTATGGCTTATGAATGACATACTAATATATATATATATATATATATAGGATTGTGCAAGCAGTATCCTGTCGAAAGTCATCGGAGAGAAATGATTCCGAGTTTCACTTTCTTTCTTGGAAGTGTGCTTTTATCACAAGATGTGTGTGTAGCACATATTAGCATGAGAACTAAAGCTATGTTGTGCGTTTTGTGGATCTGACTGTCTGAAAATCAGCATATCAAGGCAAGTTGAGGCAAGTTACAAAAAGAAAGGAAACAAACATTAAAAACTAAAATTACTCTGACACAGCATCCTACACTATGTTAGCTTGGGAATATTACCACATTGCATTAACACTGGGTATTGCAGTTGATATTTCATTTTTTTTTATTTTTTAAATAAAATCATTGATTATGAGAAAACTGGGGCTAAAGAAGGAATATCAGCGTTTACTCTGAATTTTGGGGGGTGGCCACCCCCCACCCCCCGTGGTGGCACCCCTGCTAACTAATCTGGCTGTCACTATGCCTCATAATCAATGAGTTTTTCATAATTAATGAGGCTGTCTGCCTTTTTTCACACAAAAAGGCACCAAAAGCTCCGTATGTTTGAGCTGCCAGATTTAGCAAAAATATGTATCTCAGTAATCCTTCATACAACACATGGATTTATAGGAAGAGATTTACTCCTCCTTGGGTCGAACCAGGAATCTTTTACCTTATACTTGATTGTGTAGACCATTAAGCAATGCATCTCATATAGTGAACATTGCCTGGGTACAGTGAAAAATAATTAGTTTGGCCCCATTTGACACAAGGTGGAAACCTATATTGTTACCAGTTCCCTTTAATCCTATATTAACTTTTTGGACTACAGTATTATTCATCTACACAATCCAGTCCCTGTTCTTGTCATATAAGTATATTCTATTGCCATAGCTCTTGGGAGGGTAGGGCTTAATATATGATCAACATTATTTACCAGTTATAAAATCACTTAATCTGCTGTTCAATGCACAGGTACAGTGTAACTTATCTGAGCCTGTGAGCTGGCTGCTACCCTTAGCTTTTTTTTTTCTTTAATGCTAGGGCTGATGGAAGTCACTGGAACTAATCCAGATGGACCATTGAACCAAAATAATGAAGTGGCTGAGGGATGCATGGACCTGCAGACACGCTGCAGTGTTGTAATACTTCACCTAGAAGGCAGTAATCTGATTTGGAGGTAATATCATCTATTATATGATGCAGACTGAAGGTGGTGGACTTTTTTAGTATTGCAACAACTGTAAAAGGTCAATTAGCACTTTATATGTAAACCCGGTTTCTATTATGTGATTATGTGCAGCAAAATGATTTTTATATGCATATGTATACATATGCATGTATACATATGCAAAAAAATATGTATACATATGCATATACTGCAACGAATGTAAGCTGTGTGTTATTATATATTTCTGTGGTTTACAAGCTGCGTTTTGTAGCTCTGACTATCCTCTTACAAATGTGGGAATATTGTTGAAAATCAGCATATCAAGGCGAGTTACAAAAAAACCCACCAAAAACTTCTATTAAAATTCAAAAGAAGGAAGCATATATTAAAAACTGAAATGACACTGACAAAGTATAATATGATTGGAGAATCTGGTGAAAATGGCTCACAGAAATGTTTGGAAACTAAACTCCTGACTGTGGGAAAGCAAATGAAGATAAATGCTGTTTTAAATGCATAAAAGCACGGGGGTTTAGATAAACAATCTCCACTTAAATAGAAAATGGCTTCTTAAAAAATTACTTAAAGACTTTATTTGCGCAGTTCCTCAGATATGTATGCTTTAAGTACAGCAGACATTTTAGCATTGATGATTTTTCCCCTCCAAATATCTGCCTCCAGCTCTAACCAATTACCTCACTTCAAAAGAAGCAACAGTCATATTTTTTGCAGTGATTGTCTATGAGACACGTTAAATTGTTTTTCTTTGCCTCTTTGTGAGTTACACTAGTTGATTTACAAGCACAGTAAAGGTTGGAAATGACACTGTAGAACTACTTGTCGAACCGCTTTAAAATGTAGCACTTGAATTTGCACATAGATGACACTGGTTTAATTCACAGTGAAAGATAATCTCTGATGTGGATATCAATAAAAAATTTAATATGTGGTCTGCCCTGTTTAAATTAATTTTATGGACCCATTCCTCTTGTCTTCTAGGGCGTGGACTTGCTGTGGCTGCAATATTATTCAGCAGTACCACTTTTCAAAATTAGCAGGCCCCAGATAGTACACAAACTCAGCAGAAGGCTCCTGCACAATTTCTATTAGCCAAAGTTTAGAAAACGTTTTGTCCGTGTTCTTTTGTGTATAGTAAATTTAAGTGCAAATCTCTCTTTGAAATGAATCAAATCACGTATTACATTTGACTTAAGTTTAACTTAATGTTTTGCTGAACTGCCTCATGCAGAAATACAAACATTCAGAAATACAAACTCTCCAAAGTGTCTCATTACAGTAAAGCACTGACATAGCACAGACTCACACAGGAGCTTTCTTCATAACTGACATGGCGTAATTGAAGCAATTAAAAAATGAATTCTGAAAAGTTCTCCTCCTGCACAGCTTGTACCTACAATCCAACCTGACAGCCAGCAGCTATGTGAGGATTTTAGCATATTACGCTATCAACATGCAGGGGGAAAAAGGCTAAAGAAAAGGCTACAAAAAAAATCAGTTCCGTCACTTACCGAACACGTTCTCATACCAGATGACAATGTAATCAAGATGTTTAGAGGGAAAGTGTGTTTTTAGGACACTCAAGCCTACCACTAGCTCCAATAATGTTAGCTTATAACCAGCCGTTGTTGTTGTTTAGCTGGCTTATTGTCAGATGTCCCGAGATGAGAGAGAGCCACATGTCTAATTGCTGTGTTAAAGCCCTAAAGATGAAACTTGAGCTGAGGAGGTAGAACTGAGGGAAGCAAGACAGCAGTGGTGGAGGAGCCAGACATAATGAGAAATAAATGATGAAGTATACATGCACAAATATATAGTTTGAAAGAGCTATTTAACGTCTTAGGCTGGTCTCTAGCCACATAAAATGTGATTACGTGGAACTGTGATCTTGACCAGTGTATATATTATTCATATAGCATCAAATCACAACAACAGTTGCCTCAGGGTGCTTTGGACAATCATATATTTTATTTATATATTTAGTATTTTATACCTTTATGCATTTTTAAGTCTGCACCTAAAAGTCAATGCAGAATTTTTGGGACTTTAAGTGAAAATTGCACCTTTGCATGTCGCATTACTTACATTTAAATCCACTGAACAGGGAAACTCATACGAGGCTTCAAGGCTTTCAGAGGTGCTTTGAGCCCACATTCCTTGTAACAGTGTTACACGACTTTCATTTTCAGTGTGCTCTATTTCTTCTTAGAGGGGTTTTTAATTAAATCCCGAGTATCGCCTGCTAAGAAGGTAATATCACAATCTTTGTTTGACATACTGCTCAAATAAAGTTTGCACGCACTCTTATACACAAGCTTTCATCCAAAATTCCCCTCACACTTTATGAACTGTTCTATGAAACTACAAGGGTCTGTTTCACGTTGCCAGTTTGCTTTTATGTCCATAAGTGTGTGTCCATGAGTGTGCTCATGGGTGTGTGCATGCTTCATTGCAGCCTTTCGTCATTTCATTGTTTTACTCAGAGACCTTTTATGAAGTTCAGATTGTTCGGGGATTTGGAGACCATCAGCACAATTGGCAAAGGCATAATGAATGCTTCTGTATTTTGTGCACCCTTGTGGCCAGTTTGCAGTTGTGAAACGGTTTAGATGCATTGAACGTACATGTCCTAAGTGGAAAAAAAAAATCTTTATTTCATTCGTAAATGACCAAAAACAGTTTAGCAATTAGAATGAATCAAATTAACTAATTTATAGACAAATAAACAGAGGTTATATCAAACTACTTAACGGTAATTAAAAGGTAAAGCAACATTTAAAACAGGGAATATAGAATCAAATGCTTTAATTATAACAGTGCAAACAGAACAGAAACTCATGTACAAAATTAGATATAGAAATCTACATTTTAATGCAAGCATATTGACAAGAAAACATATTTAACTTGAGAAAAAGTGAAAATACATTTCTTATGGATGGTACTAGTTGAAGGTCACAAAGATCAGGTTCAAATTTGAGAAAATCCTTCATATAGGCTTTGACAGTGTGCAGAAGAGTGGAACTTTACTTGGGAAGAACATAATTCAAAGCAATCTCATTCTACGGGCAGAAAGGGAATAGTAAGAGTTCTCTGCAAAAGGCTTCTGCTGGTCACTTGTAACACAGGATAATGGCTATTAAACCGCACACAGGTACTGAAAAGAGGTCTAGACTTTGTGAGTTTTTCTTGGAAGCCATTTGAACAGAGTCTTGCACAGCTTTTTGCTTTTCAGCTTTGTCTTTGTTAAGTTCTTAATGACGACATTTTGGAGCAGGCTGAAGGTTAAAGGCTGGGACAGGTGCGCAGTTGAACGATTCAGAACCTCCAAGAAGCGTCTTTCCTGCTGCCTGAAGTCATACTCTACACTGGAGAGACACACACACAGCCCCAAATTAGTCATTCTCCCACCTGAAGAAAACACACATTACAAAAAACAAAAAGTGTGTCAAACCTGAAAGCTTTCTCCGAAGATGCAAATGAATGTTTTAGTGTGTCGTATCTGCATTTCCAGCTCATTTTTACATAATGCAAAAGCTTTTCATGCCTCAAAATTACTATAAACTGTGTTGCTACATTTCACTTTGCTTTGTGTGGTCTCCTCATGTGGGAAGCGCTGCACTTGTCAGGTTTCAAAGTGGCTGATTGGTTTGGGCAGGTAGGCATTTCCCAGCAGGATATCCCCTTTTTTTGGAGGGTACACAAGTCTGGTTTAAATATTCTTATCTTCCCACTTGGCCTTTTAAGGACCAGATGCCCACACACACACACACGCGCACACACACTAGTCAGCAAATCAACTTATGTAACACTCTTTTTGTCATACAAAAGGGGTTTTGGAAAATAATGAGATCAACAGGAATGTTTTGAATATTTCACGATGAAGACAATTTAAGGTTTTGCTTTCTCGAGCTTGAGGCGTTTTTGTTTTCAGAAAAGATGATGAGAAGAATTTTAGATTTTCCTCGCCCCACTTAGTAATATTTTTTATTCTCCATTGCTTCCACCTGATGCAACATTTTAGTTATTAGGTGCAAACTATACCAGTGTTGGAATATGAAAACTAACCAATATTCCATGATAAGTCTTACAGGCAAGGGATGTGAAAGCTCTTCTCAGACAGCAGACAAACAATTCCTTTCACTGCTTTCTTTAATAAAGGGGAATTAGGTTCAGTTTGCAAGGCACTGAAATGCAACCGCAACTGCTGAATTGCTGTCATGAAAACTAAGACAGTAATAGCTCAGTTAGCTATAACTACTTTTGATATATTCTCCTGCTTCCTACGAGTCATCGAATCTTCTAAAACATTTCATTTTAACACAGCATAACATCAATTAGTCTACAATCCAACTGACAATGCAGATTTTGACTTCATAAATCATTAAATCATTATAAATCAGTTTTGTAGGCTGCTTGGACCTGACTCAGTTCTGTCTGCCTGCTTACATTTCCAAATAGACTGTGCTACATAAAGCAAGTGCTTAAATTTGGCAGTTTTTCCATAAGATTTATCGTGTTCTCTGACAGGAAAATATAATCCTTCCGTTACTTCTGAGCAAGAAACTGCTTGCTAATGACAGTAGGTCATTAATTTTTAGAGAAATGAAGTGAACAGACTGGCAAAGAACTGCCAGCTGCAATGGCAAAGGTGCTGACCCATGAACTGAACTGTGTGCCTGAAACTGTAAATCTGTTGCCCTTGAATAAACTGATATGTGTTCCTGTTACTGTGCATGCCATGCATGTTGATTTGGTTTAATTGGTTTCTTCATCTCTTTTATCGAAAGAACACCAAAAGGGAAACAAGTAGCAACATTAAGGTGTATTAATTATACTGTAGAATTGGTATGGTACATTGCAGCAGATTTGATCAGTTATGTGTTCAGACTTTGCATGTAGGCACAACTGTCATCTCACCTGTATACAACACAAGCAGTTTTCTGGCACGTTGAACAGTCTTTGAAGTCCTGTCCTGTTTTGTGGGATCGCCGACTGGAATACAGATAAAGCACATTTTATATGACAAATATTGTGAATAACTGCTTAACTCTGTAACCCTTTAGTGCAAGAGAGTATGAGCTATTAAGAATTCTAACATAACTTGAATGGAAAAGGAAGGATGAATTAATGTATGACCCTATCAACTATCAGCAGCTTACATGAATCATTGTGTCTTATGAAAGAAAAATAAACGATGCAGCTGATGTAACAACTAAGGTATATGATGTATTTTTAACTCATGATAAACCATAAACCCAAATCTGTTAACCAAATCATCCTTTTAGATTTACAGTGCAATCATCTTTCCTATCACTGTATCCATCTGAGACACTTTCAGTCTATATAACATAGCGTGTAAGACATCAGTAGGTTATTAGGAGTTGGTTTTTCTAAAACATGACCTTAGAGACAGTCACAGCTTATTAACACAGCACACTGAATGAGAATGATTGACAGAGACACGTTGCCAGAGGCCTGTTTTAATTCCTGTTATTTGTCCCAGAAGAATTGCGTGGCTATATAAATCTCTGCCCCCCTGAAATGCCCAAGTAGGTTTCTATCATACTCGGGAGCATAATCACGGACCTGTTTTTCAAACCTGCAACAATGTTGCAATGCCACATAACTACAATTCGAATCAGATTTTTTGCACGTTTGTGAAACAGACTTGATAACATGTTAGTAGTACTGCCTTCAAATTGATTTGTGCAACTTAAATCGCAGTGTGCGAAATTATTTACACGACTGAAACTCGTTTGGTTCAAATGTCATTGAGGTCTTCCAGTGCAGATGCTGGAATATCTTTCTTCCTATTATTTACTTTAGTTATGGGACGGAATGGGGAAATATGTGAGAAACACGTGAAGCTCTGTGCTTTTGAAAAAAAAACAAAAAAACAAATAATGTTAAGAAAAAAACTGACCCTGTTTTGGTTACTGTACCCTTGCTTTTGTACAGTAATAGATAGAAAGATCCTACATCCTGCTTTTCTGTATCATTTTTGTCCTTGGCAATACAGTAATTACTAGCTAATTAACTGAACAGTGGGTGAGTAAAACATGTGTTTATAAAATTTAACAAATGCACAACTGTTTTCAGTCTAAAAACAATGGTGTTTGCATTGATATTTAATGCTGCTAAGTGTTTCCAATCTAAGTGATGACTCAATGTAAAGCCAGAGATCAGCAGAAGCAGGAATGCTTTTAAAATAATTCCTAGACAGGATTCTGGCAGCTGTACCTGTACTGGACTGAATATAAAGTATTACAGCAAAGTATTTACAACTCATCTCTAACAAAGCATGTTAAGTATATGCCGTTCACAAATGTGTAAAGCTCTATTGTACTAAATATTAGACATTCAAGTAAAAAACTGATGATCCTGAAGTGAAAAAGAAAACTCAACACATCCCTTATTACACTTCCACACACACTCAGAGCCCAGACACACACGCACATTTACTTACCCACTGGTGGGAGCGTGGCATGTCTCTAGGTCATGGATAATGTTAAGCAGAGTTGTGATCCTGTCCTTGTTGGCTGCCAGGCTGGCCTCCACAGTCTCGAGTCTCTGCTGTAAGGCTGCTGATTTGCAGCACTGTGGGGAAGATGGCAGCAGCAGGGCTGCATCAGCTGGGTGGGAGTGAGCCAGGCTGGTGTCCTCTGGGCACGGCTGAGGAGGAGCGGGGTTGTCAATTGCCTCCACTTTCTTAGACTGGAGGCGGAGATAGGATGCCAAGGGCTTTGTTGATGATAGCAATATGGAATTGCAATCAAGGCCTGTGTGCATACGGGGTTCTCTCTCACTGCTGCATGGGGCTGGCGCAGTGAAAGAACGCTCGGGACGTGTGAGTGTTTGTGGCGGTAATAATATGTCAGAGTTTTGCTGGACTGAGGATTTGATGATGGGTTTGACATTTCTAGTTGAGGTGATGGGTCCACAGTTTGTTTGCACTGTTACAGAGGGTGTTGAGTTGATGGGATGTGTCTCTTTAACTACGTCAGTTTTAAGCTTAACATTTGCATGACTGGCTGATACACCCAAGGCAAACCGTCCTGCATTTGAATTCTTTTGCTGGGCTGTTGTTACCGGTGGGCATGTTGCACAGTGTCCCTCATGTTCTGTTTCTGCACATCCTTGATTATGTGCAGGCTTTTGTTGTTCTGTTTTTATGAAACCCTGCAGACAAGAGCTGTTTGACTTAATTAGGGAAATGTAATTCTGGAGGTTTGCGACCTGCGATGGATTTGAATTTTCATGGTCTTTTGACTCATGCACAATTAATTCATTGGTTAGATTAGCACTGAACTTACTTTTATCAGAATGCAACTCCTCGCTGGGTTTATTGGTTGATTTAGGGTGATTAGTGCTAGCATCACTGCCCCTGTTATGATCTTTTGGCACAATTTGAGGCTTAGATAATGCATGCGGAGGTGCTAAGTTGCTTTCCTGATGACGAACAACACCGCATTTACCAGGTTTGTTACTGCTTTGAGTTCTGATGTCTGGTCCCAGTGTGCATTGAGGTTTGCTTTTGTCAGGGGCTTCATTACAGCTAACTACCTGTGCTGTGCCTATTGATTGAAGCAAATTTGCACTTGATACAGAGACATTATTTTGTTTCTCTGTCAAGGCAAACAAATGCGTGCCAGCTGGGGTTGCAGATTTTTTCGAATTGAATGCGGTGTTCCTGAGAGCTATATTTTTGTTCAGGGTGCTGTTAAATCCAAGTCTGGAGCTGGAAGTAGTACTCACAGGCACCTTAACTTCCGAGTCTAGGAGATTGGATGCACTAGATGTTGTGTCTAGGGAAGATGTACAAGCGTGAAGCAGAGGTTCAGAATTTGAAGAGTTAGGGTGAATTATTTGTGCAGGCACAGACTTATCATCACATGCAATTTGATCTGAATTAGTTTTATAATTTAAAATGCTCAAATATAAATGTGGTATAGCTGGATGCTGTGGATTAGCAAAAGCTTGAATTCCAGTTGAGCTTATTCCTCTGTCAGTAAAAGGTATTTTAGCTAAAGATGTGCTAGCAGCTACTGTGGATGCCTTTTCTTGCAGTTTATGATGTTCAAGCAGAGCATGCGGTGGACCTGAGGGTAAAACGTGTGCAGGTGACTTTGATTTATGCATTTGGTTGAATGCATTGCTGGCCAGTGATAATGTGGGGCATTTAGGGCTAATTTGTTGGTTATTAGTTGTATTTATTTGACCTGCATGCTTGGAGTGTAGAGGTTTATGCTGAGTATTGACTTTAGCAGCTATGCTTTCAGTGGACGTTGGTGATGAATTAAAAACTGTGGTTGATATGAGTGTGTTGGTACTGGATGTATTTCCAGTTCCTGTGGATACAGTATATAAATGCGAAGGTGGTGACAGTGTAATCTCAGGTGCAGCATGTATAGACACACATACATTTTGAGATTCATTGTATTGTGTAGAAATGTGTTGTGTTGTCTTAATGCGCTTGGGGTAAGTGTGCGAATGTGGGTTGTTGGCCTTGGTAGCTATGGCCAACTTGGGGGTCAAAGGGAGAGTTGTTGGACGAGAGAGCTTATAGTCCTGTGGAGGTTTGGCACCAAAGTTTTCACTGGAATCATCCTGTCTGGTTTCTATTGTTGCTTTTGTGATAGTGATGGTTTTAGCATGTAAGACGGTTGTAGGTTGGATTGATGTTTCACCTCTGGCAGGATTTATATTTGACAAAGTGACTTGATTGCCTATAGAGTGGACCGGGCATGCAGGGTGTGGTGTTTTTCGATACCTTAGTTCCTCATTAACGTATAATAATTGCGGATTGACTGTAATTTGGGTCCTGTTGTCAGTATTATTAATGCTGTCGGAGAGTTGATGGTTTGCCGTAGGGTTTTTTTCAGCGTGGGATATTTGGAAAGGCGTAGAGGTCGAGAGTGAGGTGAAGGATGAGTTTAAAGAGTTCCCTCTAAGGAAAGCATTGGGAGTAGGAATTTTCTCCCCTATAATAACAGCTCTGTTGGTTGCAGACTGTCTCCCTCCACAGTGGTTGCATATTTTTTGAGGCATACCAAAAGGTCGGGCAGCAGATAATGGCAGCGTCTTCCTACACAAATCTGTATAATGACCTTGCAATCTGGTCCGGTCTCCTCCACGACAGGTTGCTCCCTTTACAGGCTCGGCCTCATCACTGTGTACGGTAATCCCACCGATTGCCTCTGAGTCAACCACACTGCCATTAGTGTAACGGTTACCAGATTTACAATTAGACCTGGCATTCCCTGCAATGTGTGGATTTGTCTTGATTGCCCTGGTATAGCAATAAGTCCCTCTACTGTTCCTCTGACAGCAGGCCACATCCTTTGAGGCCTCACCTCCAAGTGCTTTGAAAGTCACTTCCTTTTTGGTCTTGGATTCGCCACTTTTCTGTTTTAGAATAGCCTTTTTCTCCTTGTCACTCTTTGTTAGCAGTATCTCCCTGTCTTCCGTTTCCTTGGTAATATAGCTGTTGGATGTTTGACTAATGTTATCTGAGAGTGTATCAGTTAGCTGGGTAGGAGGTCTATTTATCGCAGGGGATGTCTGAACACCAACACTGCACTGAAGTCCCCACAGGGCTCCTCCGGATCTGTCTCCTCCTGTTGCCTTCCAACCACGCACGCCAACCAAGGCAGGGACTCCTAAAACCGGAACCGAAGTCGTCAGGTCAGCTGCTCGTCTCCCCATTCCTCGACTGGTCGACTCAAAAGTCTGATAATTCAAAAAGGGGGTCAGCGTTTCCACATCATTACATCCATCTAAAAGTAAAAGAGGAACACGTTTAAAGCAAGAGACATTTTAGATGGCACTGTGAAGGATATCCATGAGTAAGCAGGAAACAATGCACAGAGCTTGGGCTGAGACAAGGAAGCGCTTTAATAGTGCAAAACAAAAGGAGGGTAACTAGAGTTGTCAAGAATTGTGAGGATTGTGCTCTTACTTTCTTGGAATAAGACTGGAAAAAGCAATGACAATGTGCAAATGCTGATAACAAGAGAAGTGTATATTATATCAGCACTTTGAACATAATGCAAAGATCCCACCCACATTAATGTTTCAACATAGCGCCTGGAGTAAACTCTAATGTCTTCTTTCATTACAGTATTTGCCATAGAAGGCAGCTTTCACCCTATTACCCTTCACGTTCAGCTCACCTTGAAAAAGAGTACCATACACTAATACTATAGCCTTAATTAAGGTCTGTGTGCATTTAACCGCAACACCATTTCACGAAGGGGACAGCCTGTGTAAGTGTGTGTGTGTGTGTGTCTATGCGTGCACACAAGTTTTCTCATGTGTAGAGGAGGTCATTTTTAATGATTTATGCAACAACAGTTCAGTTGTCAACACCAGGGTGATCATGTGTGGATTTTTCAGCAATTCTTTATTATACAGTTAAACACAGAGTGTGTGTCTATATTAGCGCTTGCATGTATTCATTCATAACAAAAAAAGAACATGTAAATACATTTTGGTAGAGCTTTCTTCACTTTCTCCTGGCCTTCATACCCCTCAAAATCCTTTATCCAGATATGTCTAAATTGCTAGACGAACATTACTCATCCACAGGGACTATTATTTTGGTTCTCATGTCAACTGATGTTAGTTGAGCTAGGTCAAGTGACCCACGTCTGTAGTTGCTGTCTAATAATAAGTGACAACTGTCTTGCCCTGTTAATACACCATAAAAAAACAAGCAGAGAAAAAACAAGCTATTGAAAAGCCGCAAAATGTTTACATGCCCTCAACTTAAGAATAAAAAGCAGACATACCTCAGTCTTTGTATGATCCTGCTGTAAGTCTTGGCTCCAAATGAGTTAGTTTTACGCACTCTCTTTTATGTCCTCATGGATTCTCAAGGTTCTGAGTGACTTTGTTTTCATATGTTTTTATCCCTTGGCTGCACAATTCAAACTCAGTGCAGTCCACAGGCAGTCATCTCGGTAAAGCAATGCTGCTTAATGAGTCCTCTTCGTAACTGCTCAGATTCTGAACTAATCTACCTTTTATTGATCAGGCATGAAGCCAAGCTGTGTCCTCACTGCGCCCGCTTCTTGTTTTGGTCCTGCTGCTCCACACTGCTCCATAGTATGCCACAGTATGCTGTCCTCTAACACACTCTGCCCTACTATGCCTTATCTTTTTACCTCCTCTTCTCACTTACTCTTTCTGCGGTGCTCCCTCTCTGCTCTTTCTGCTACTGTCCTCCTTCCCAGCATTCATGTATCCTGGTCTATAGCTGGGTGGAGATAGAGAGCAGGAGAGAGAAAGAGAGAGAAAGAGAGGGAGAGAGAGGAAGTGACTTGCATCAGTGGGGTAGGGACTGTGTGTAAATTACCATACAAGTTAAAAAACAGGAAATGTAAATGGCAACAAATGTATGTAAACAAAGTTGTAGCAGTCTGAAGAGGCAGTAATTACAAATTAAGTCTCTTTAACGCTATTACTAATTTGAGTCTCTAATTTCTTTAATGTATGTGGTTTCTTTTACAGAGAATGCACTTTTATTCTAGATCGGGCTTAGTCCAAGTAGAAAATAAGCATTCATGTATAGCTAATGTTTGATTTTTCACATTTTGGGCACACATCCTTTTATTATCAGGATGTGTGGCCCCAAGTCTTCAGTGCTCTGGGGGGTCTTCGGATGCCCTGGGTCTCCTGGGCTTTTCTCTGTCTGCATCTAGTTCCCAGAGGCCATTGTTTCAGCTTCTCACTGCTCATTATGTACATTTCATTTCACATTACTTTTCTTAAAAGCAATTAAGTACTTTCTTAATTACTCACTGGAAAAAGCAATTCAATACACTAAACATAACTTTCACTTTATTCCAGTAAACAATATATACCTTAAGCTAATGTTCTACATACCAACACAAATCCATATTCTAATGAGGACACATCTTTGAGGATGAGGATCTCTCTTTTAGTGCTTAGATATAAACACAAAATCAACAGCACAAAGCAAAGTTGAAAACCAACCCAAAGAGAATTCAAAGTGATCGTCACAGTGATTCTACTTTAGCATGTAAGGACAGAAATGGAGGCCACAGTGTTTCAAGCCTGACTCCTTATCACTTCCTCTGTTACGCCACTGCCTCTGTTGAAGTTCAGGGTCCAGTTGCAGGTCTGGGTCTTGGAATCACTCAGCTTGAACATCACTCTGGGTTTTTTTTTTTTTTGCCAGCTTTATATTAGCATGCTGTCTGTGCAAATGTTCGCAAAAAGGAGCCAAAGTTATGTTAGCAGAATAATACAGATGTTTCTGTCCTGTACACAGTTTGCATTTCACCATCACACCCCGGTCCTTTGGCACAACAGTGGATGTAGACCATGATTCTGCTTGGACAGGACACCCATAAAAAAGTACTTGTAATTAACATATAGTATTTCTATTGTACAGTGTACTTTTCTCCACATTGGCATTTAAAGCACTTCACCACGTGTGTATTCTATCTTACTTTTTTGAATATCAATTACTTTTCAGATTATGATTTTTTCTTGTTTTTGCAACTTTATTATGTTGTTGTGCAAAATTTTTGATGTCTTCACAAATAAAAATAAATAAATAAATAAATAAATAGATAGATACATTTAAAAAAAATGAGCTTTGAAGGTTTTTTCCTGCTGCTGACATTAAAGCATGGTTTCTACCTTTATCAAGTACTGCAGTTAAGCCCTGTGGAATTCTTTGCTTTTGGCAAATTTCTTTAATTATAACAACAATTTGAATATTGTCTTGGGATAATGGAAAAAATTATTATTTTCCATAGCAAACATGCAACATTCAAGTACATGTTTTAAGTGAATAAAAGTTTAATTTAATATCAATTAATGTGTATTTAATGTGTATTTTTAAAACCATGTATTTTTACATCTGACAAATAATTGATAAAACATCAAAATGTTTCTCATTTATGGATTTTAATGTGTCGTATATAAGCCCTTTGATGTATGTCATTTAAGTTCATGGACACTACAACCCACAGTCTCTAACATAATTTATTCCCATGCCTGCATCAACATGATATTCATAGGATATATTGAAATTATGAACAATCAAGTATGGTAATGTTTTATATTTGCTGCAATCAGGTTATGCACTATTATGGACATCATAATATCGATTATAGTCAAGTGATCTTTGTACAATCTCTAAATGATATATTCCTAAAATAAAAAGATAAGAATGAGTTGTTTTATTACTGTATGTTTTGATGTTCACGATTCTTTTGCACCTGAAATGATTTTTTTTGCATTGCATCATCTCCCACAGTGTTATTACTTTCACAAGATTAAATCTTCAGCCAGCATTAGACAGCACTGCAAATTAAAGGAGAAAAGAAAGGATAAATTAGACAGGATGAAGAGGATTATGTCATGGATGTTAAAACCTCCAAAAATACAAAAACAAATGAAATCAAACTAAGAATATTCTAATACTTTAATGATTTATTTTCATACACTAATCTATTAAAATAATGAAAGTCCTGCTGTGCAAGGAAAATGTATCCATTCTGTGACTCTATATAGGTAATATATAGCATAGACTGGCTGCTGACTAATAATTTGGTTGGTAGCCAGTTCCGTTTAGACTGGAAAGATGAGAAATATGATGTGTAATATAATTATTTATCCGACTATTGTTATCATCAGATATTAGCAAATTTGACTATGGAAACCAGGCTGTGTGTTGACTTCTGATTTCAAGAGATTGCACTCAAATTCCATCACTGCAGCTGTAGGGAACATGAGGCTGACTTTGTGAATAAAATATTATCTCATAGCCTCGGGGCAATTACACAGTATTGTATCAGGGAAAATGCCTACAGTGAAAACGGTTTAACTGTCACTGTAAGAGTTTTGTGTGGTTTGCATTTATTCATCATAACAGTTGGTTATGCTTTAGTGAAGACATTTGAAAAAGGAAATCGTTTTCCTTTAAAAAAAAATAAAAAATCTTGCGAGGGTGTATATTTGTATTTTGCCTTGTTAGTGTGGTGACAATAGACTGATAATTTGACAAGTGGGCTTAGAATATTAGATGTGGGTCTAAGAGATGCACATACATTTACATTTTACTAAGGCTCTTTTTTTTTCAAACATGTTTCCTTTAGGCAAATATAATGACATATTGGAATAATTATAGCCCATCTTTTTAAACCATGAGAACTCCTGATCATAGTCTGTACATGTGAATCTGAGACAGCAACATTATTAATCATTGGACTCGTGTTGTCATTTGTCACAATGCAATATGACTACTGAGAGTTTGGTTGTAGTTACTAATGAAGTTATACAAAGGTGATGAAGTGACATGGCTTGTGACTCTGTCTGGATCATATAAGTCTTTTGCAGACCCGTTTGGCTGTTTTTTGTAAGTCTAAAGTTGTTGCCCTTGCCATCAAATATTTGAGAATTTACTGAAAAGCTGTATGCAATTCAGCAGCTTCCAGAGTGCTATATTCTTGTTGAGTCACAATGGAGAAAACATATTTTAGTGAGGTTCAATAGCATTCCATACAGCTGTAATATGAAATGCAAACACTTAAATTAGCAATTTTGTTTTTCATTTTAAAGCTGCATTTAAAAAAACTGCCACAAGAGGGCAGGTAAACATTAATTATGCCCCTTCACTGTTTCTTCCTCTTCTATTTTTTTACATCACTGACAATATGTCAGTATGACTGCTAATTATCATCATTCTGTTGGAAAAGGACTGACATTTATATAACATTTTTCCCATCATACTGACCGCTCAAAGCAACTAAGACATACCTAAATCACATTTAACCATAGATTCATGCACTACATTGTTCTATGCACTTTAACCACATTATCTACCTCACACTAATGAGTTAAATCGCCAGTTAGACTAACATACGTGCTTTTAGGCTCTGCCAGGAAGTACCCAGAAGAAAGCCAGCAGGCCTGGTTAGAATGCTAATACAGAAAAAGTTGACCATGAGGTTTGAAGCAGGGACTTTTTTGTTAACCACTGCCCCCCCTGTGCTACCCAGGAATGGAGGAAAGTCACAGTCCTATGTACCAGTGTCTTCAGAATGAATTGTGTTAGATTGAAGTCATCTTTAAAGTAGAATTTAATGTCTTTAGATATTAATTCCACAAAAAGAAAGCCTTTTTAATTATTACATATACTGCAAACAAAATGCTTATTAAATATGAACAGTATGGGTCGGCTGCAGCAAGAAAGTGGAGAAAGGGTGGTGTGCATTAATTACTTCTCCAGACAGATGGAGCCAGTGCAATGAATAGATAAAGGCTTTTCCTATTTTCCTAAAGAAAGACAAGTCTTTGTTCAAATAGAAGGGATGTTAAAGTCCCACGTTAATTATCATCCAGTCCCCTTTTCATGGCTTTGCCAACTTTAAAATGTTGAGATCTTGTTGACATTGGATACTAATGCTGTATTTTCTCATTTCCTGCATTCCCACATTTCAAAATTCCACTGTTGCGAAAGTGGAGAGGAAAAAAAGGGCGTCACAGTCTACTGAAGGAGAAAATAAGCTGTTAGTTCAACTGAATTCAAAACACTGTTTGAGATACTTAAGAAAAAAAAAACTTTATTTGTGACGTATTAACAAAACACATTACCAGATTGATTAAATCATAAGAATCACTATGATCACCTTTACAATGATGAGCAGGTGTACAAAAAAGTTATTAACAGATCTGCACTGTCACAGTCGACTGGTATGTGCCACTCACCGCCACACCCAACGACTGAGGAACATTCACTATACACAAGCAGAGAATACATCAACTTTATTTATTTATTTTTTTCATTTTTTTGTATTTTGATATTTTTTTTTCTTATTTTTCTGCCTTT